TAGTCTAGACTAACAACTAAATTGATCTCATCTCCTGGAAAAAAAAATCCCTTGATTGCTGCAAGGAGATTTTTCATTGCTGTCTAGCCTGCAGCTCCTGTCCTGCACAAGCAAAGCTACTCTAGGTTGGAGGTAGGTCACAGAGTTACATGGAAAAATCCAAACAGCTTCCTTAGCTCGATGGCCCTGTGCTCTCACCAGTCAATCAGAGCTGCACTGGATTCACCCACAAGCTCCTGCTGTACCACGACCCAAAGATAAACAGTTTTCTTTGCAGCCTGAAGTCTTTAAAGTCTTTTGTGATGCAGCTGGAAACAAACAGGGAAAGATGTTTGCTTTTTCTTAAGGGATCAGTCTGAGAGTGCTGGAGCTCTGATTGAATAAGTAATGTGCTGAAAAAAATCTATGCTGTGTCGGTGCTTTAATAAGTAATTGAGCTGAATACTGCTGTGTGCAATCTCAGTGGGACCTTTTTGTTTTTCAGCTCTCTTTTCCTTTGGTGTTGAGCTACCACCACAGATCACAGAGCAGTGCACTGAAGGATGTGTATCTAAAGCCACAAAAAGCCAAAGCAGGACTTTGAACAAATAATTTGTTTTATCCTTATTTCTATTACCTTGGTCCCCAGACTGCTGTGTGCAGGTTAGGGGCTGAAGGAACAAAAGAGCAACATTTTAGAGAACTAAACTGTCTGCTGTTGGTGCTTGTCATGACTATGGGCCAAATTATAACCTCTTCCCTAGCAGAAAAGGTGCTAATTTGTATTTTTTTCTCCTCAGCTGCTGATTTTTCATGTAAGCTCTCAGATTCTGATTTTGGTGAGGTCTTGACCCTCATGTTAAACTGGATTGAAACTGGCAAACAAATGGCAAAGGGCAGTAGGCAGGTAGATGAACATTTACTCATCTGATACCAGAGGTTCACTGTTCTGTGAGGAGTGTTTCATTAACAAGCTTCTCTGAAAGTGACTGTAGTTTGATTCCACGTGGCTTGAAATTTTACTCCTGTGCAAATTGGGTACAAAATAATATCTGCACCAAAGGATCTCACCTCCTTAATACTTTAAGCTCACTTTGTGCAGGTCAGAAGCACTATGTGATGTGCAAGGTGAAAGAACTCAGGACAAATTTTTTGGGCAACCCCTGTTCACCTTCTGTGCTTTGATTGCAACCTAGGTCAAGCCTCTTTGGTTAGCCAGTTCAAGCGACTTACCTTTCAGTCATTACAGCTCATATTGACAGAATGTAAGATTTTTAGACAAGTTTTTCTTCTCTTGCAGCAGCTAACCTTTTCTTGCAGATGGTTTTTCGCATTAGCTGTTTCCACTTCTGAAGTTCTTGCAGCAGCTAACCTTTTCTTGCAGGTGGTTTTTTGCATTAGCTGTTTCCACTTCTGAGGGATGCTGAGAGCTTCTCTTATGTGACACTTTGCTGAGTAAACTTGTCGCTGAAATCCAGCCCCAAGAGTCATTTTGCTTTACGTGTTCTTCTGCTTCTCTGTTGCCTCTTGAAGTTGGCCTTGACAAACAGAACCATGTTTCTGGGGTGATCCCAGACTTCTGGGAATGACTCAGCCATTGTGGGAACTTGGTGACTTGATTCAGTGTTCTTGAAACACATACCCTGAGGGGGAGGGTGAAGGAGCAGCTCTCACTGTCTATAGATACTGCTACTATCTGATCTCTGATTTCAGTCTTTCACTGAGTTACCTCATCCATTGATGCATCAGCCTGCCCATTAGACATGATGTTTAATCACCAGCCTAACAACTTTGAGGATATTATTAATTGTGTACAATGCTTTTTTTGCTCTAATACCTTTAGATGACAGATATTTGTTAAATGTTCTTAAGGTACTTTTATTTAGTATACTTTTCTCAATTACCCTGTAATGCATTCATCTGGCTGTCATTTCTCTTTTATCATCTCATCAGCCAAACATAAGTCTGGTCACTCAGGTGTGAGATTCATCTGACCAGTGTAGACATCCCTGTCTCCTGTCATATGTGCTCCTTTTACAATCACAGGAGAGGACCACAAGGGAGAGGAGTTTCTGACTGTTGTTCATCTTACCTTGTAGCAGATGTCTACAACAGATCAGGTGATTTGTCTCCTGAGTGAGCCATTTCTCCCTGCTGAGTAGAAAGGCAGTAGCGTGGAGAAGAGGACTGAAAAAGCCAATTTTTCTTCTTGTGCCAAAACTCCTGAAAACCTGATTGAAAGC